AATCCCCACATGTGAGAAAATTTAAACATCGAGTCATATTTTTATTATTATTATTATTATTATTATTATTATTATTATTATTATTATTATTATTATTATTAACCACCAAACATCATCATCATCATCATCATTATCATCATCATCCATACAACAACAACAACAATAATAATAATAATAATAATAATAATAATAATAATAATAATAATAATAATAATAATAATAATAATAATAATAATAATAATAATAATAATAATAATAATAATAATAATAATAATAAAGATATGCAAATTGAACTAAAATGATATATTCTCATTAATTACCTTCATCAACTATGCTAAAATATACTGAAATATCTATCAGTTTTAATACTATTTTTAGATATACAGGTGTGCCGTGTCAGGTATACAGAGTGCTTTTATACTCATTAACGGCTTAGGCAGGTGTATAGGAACCATTTATATCAAGGTTGTATAGTTTGTTGGGTTATGGATATACCAGGGTTGTATATTTTATTTGGTTACGGATATATCAGGGTTATACACCGAAGAAATATACTTTATGGTGTATGCTTAGGATATATGCTGTGTGTCTGTGAACTAAAGTATACCTTAATAAGTATGATTTATGTGTGAGTTCTTGAGTCTACCCGCCTTATGTGTGTTATATATACTGGAGTGTACACAGGTATACTCAGTGTGTGTGTGTGTGTGTGTGTGTCTCTGTCTGTCTGTCTTTCTGTCTGTCTGTTCATCTCCCATACTCTATGGGTTCTGGTGGTCCCAGTTCTATTAGTTAGGTTACGTTAGGGTTAGGTTAGGTTACGTTAGGGTTAGGTTGGGGCCTATTAGTACTAGGATCTATAATCACTAGGGGACACAGGACCTATTTATACGCAAACAGTGAATCACCAATTATATATTTCCTGTAACCTATTATAATGTAAGGCCGAATTATATCAACGCATTAATATATCCCCTATAATCTGCTATAATTGCGAATAACCTAACCTAACCTAACCTACTATAACTTGCTATAATGGCGAGTTACATAAGCAAATAAACGCAATATGAAGCTTAATTGATTACCATTATTTATTTAATAATTTTTTGTGTCTAATGAGTCATCTATTTTGAATTAGTTTGATCAGCTTTTTGTTGACATTGTTTCACCATAACAAGATGTGATGTAATGGCCAGTGTTTGTGTTGTTATTGTTGTTATTAGTGTTGTTGTTGTTGATGTTTTAGTAGTAGTGGTGGTAGTGGTAGTAGTAGTAGTAGTAGTAGCAGTAGTAGTAGTAGTAATTGATCCATATAAATAGTGGTTATTTGTGCCAAGGAAATATAAACTAGTGCCTGGTGTGACAAACTCTTGTCCATAGTGTATCATTCTGATGTATGGATGGTCGCTATTAGGGGGGGTAGCCTACACACCCACGCGCGCACGTATGCCCCTACTACCTGGACACACCAGTCCAGCCTGTCACCTCTCCGCCCTTCCCTCATAAGAACCAGTATAATCTTGTGCCTGGGACTAAATCAGATGTCCGGAGGCGGACGTTACCGTCGCCCAAGGTGCTGGTCACTATGCCTGGTAACATTCCTTGCTGCGTCTGTGCTAGCCCGAACCAAAACTGCACAAATTGTGTTTGTGCGAGAAATAACCGACCATGTGTGAATTGCAGGAAGCTAGACCAGTGTCGGAACCCACGTCGCAGGGAGCCGACACAGGCGGCCACAGTGGATATCGCCGGGACCCAACTACCCGATGATATCCGAAATGATAGCAGTGAGTCTACTCAACCCGATAATGTAGTACTAATAAATGCTGCTCCCTCAGTAGCAGGTGTCCACGAGGAGAATGAGAGACAGCCGCCTCAGTGGAATGGCATGTCGATGGAAAATGCAGGCGTATGGGTCAAAGAAACCTACTCAGAAATTGTCAAGTGGTCGCCCGCTAACTTATTTGAACCACCCAAGTGTGCGGCCACCAAAGAAATGATTCGGGAGATGACTCACTTCATGACTGATTACACTCAGGACCGCTTCCTCGCCCCCCTAGCTCTTCAAATACTGGCAATAATACCACATCTATTTTGTCAGAGGACACACACAAAGGCTAAGCACAAAGAAAATGTGGCAGCAATGAAGAGAAGGTTGACAATGTGGCAGACTGGGGCCCTTGATGATCTCCTATGTGAAGCAAGAACACTGCAGGAGAGACTAAAATCTATGGGTGACGGAAAGCAAAACACCGATGACGTGGCAAGACAATTTGGAAACAAAATGCGTGTGGGAAAAGTGTCTCTCGCGGTAAGATCTCTCACACATGAATCCTCCGGTGGAGTGATGCCAATAAACAGAGCGACATTAAAACTATTGAAAGAGAAACATCCCCCTGCAAGCGAAGATGAAGGCATCAGGCTCCAGGGTGCTTATATCCCACCAAACGCTGTCCTGTTCGAGAAAATAACAGGAGGGATGGTGTGGAAAAAGGCACTGAAGACTCGAGGCGGAGCCGGCCCTTCAGGTCTGGATGCAAACGGTTGGAGAGTCATCCTCAGCACAAACAAGTTTGGCCCTGTAGCAAGCGATCTCTGCACTGCCATTGCCACCCTTGCAAGAAAGCTTGCATCCTCTTGCTGCCATCACCTCCAGGCTCTGACGGCCTGCCGCCTTATTCCTCTGGAAAAGAAACCAGGATGTAGACCTATAGGGGTGGGGGAAGTGCTGAGGCGGATCATCGGAAAGTGTATAATGGAGGTGGTAAAGGATGATGTCAGGGCAGCAGCAGGGAACCTACAAGTGTGTGCTGGCCACCAGGCTGGTGGGGAGGCGGCCATTCACGCCATGAGATTGATATTTGAGCAGCGTGATTGTGAGGCCGTTCTCCTGGTGGATGCTTCAAACGCATTCAACATACTTAACCGCAAGGCGGCACTGCACAACATCAAGATCAAGTGTCCTAGCTTTGCGATGTATGTTGAAAATTCGTATAGGAATCCTTCAGACCTCTACGTAGTAAACAACAAGGCTCTACGAGGTGATACCATCCTACAGTCGACCGAGGGAACAACACAGGGAGACCCCGTTGCAATGGCAATGTATGCAATAGGCCTATCAGTGCTCCAACAAGAAATAAAGTATGAAACAACTGGGGTCAAACAAGTGGCATATGCTGATGACCTCACAGGAGCAGGAAAAGTGGAGGACATCAAAAAGTGGTGGGACCTGGTAACATCGCGAGGTCCACAAATAGGGTACCACCCAAACGCCAGCAAATCCTTCCTCATCGTGAAGCCAGATCATTATGATCGGGCTGTGGAGGTTTTCGGCGAAAGTGAGGTCAAAATAACTAAGGACGGCCAAAGACATCTAGGCGCAGTAATTGGCACTACGGACTTCAAGACCCAGTACGTAGGGGGAAAGGTGAACGAGTGGGTTAGCGAAATCCATGCTCTATCGGAGATTGCTAACACAGAGCCACATGCGGCCTTTGCAGCATTCACACATGGAGTCAAGCATCGTTGGAACTACCTGATGCGTACCATCCCTGAGATCCGACCCCTCCTCCACCCTTTGGAAGAAGCAATCAGTGTCAAGTTCATTCCCAAACTAGTGAAACACCACGACTTAACCCCAGTAGAAAGAACACTTCTTGCACTTCCACCAAGACTGGGAGGGATGGGACTAACTAATCCAGAGGAGATTGCTGACTCTGAACATCAAAATTCACTTAAGCTCACGGCAGCCCTCACTGACCACATAATAGCCCAGAATGCAACAGGGGAAGTGGACACCAGCGAAGTTAATAAGATCCGTAGATCCATTACAACAGATCGGCAGCACTGCCAAAATGACATGTTGCAGCAACTATTGCTGCAGGTTCCAGAAAATTTGACAAAAAAAGTAGCTATAGCGCAGGAGGTGGGCGCCTCGAACTGGTTAACTACGTTACCGATAAGGGCAAATGGTTTCAGCCTTAACAAACAAGAATTTACAGATGCCATTGCTCTAAGGTACGGTTGGCCAGTAGATGGTTTGCCCTCCCAATGCGTGTGTGGCTATTCCTATGATGGCGATCACGCCATGGTTTGCAAGAAGGGGGGCTTCATATGCATGAGGCATGACGAGGTAAGGGATCTCACAGCAAATATGTTGAAGGAAACCTGCCGGGACGTCATGGTAGAACCGACCCTCCTTCCACTGGATGGCGAGATCCTCCAACACAGGACTTCAAACACATCTAACGAAGCCCGTGTGGACGTCAGTGCTCGAGGATTCTGGACGCGGGGCCGTTTGTCACCGTAACCTAGCTCTCGATGCTGCACATAGGAGGAACGAGAACGACAAGAGAAGGGCATATGGGGAGAGAATTCAAAATGTCGATCAAGGCAGCTTCACTCCGCTAGTGTTCACAACCTCTGGTGGGATGGGCCCAAGCGCAAGATGTTTCTACGCCAGACTCGCGGAGCTGATCTCCGAACAGAAGCAGCAGCCCAGAAGTTATGTCACAGCCTGGATGAGATGTCGACTGTCCTTCTCTCTCCTTCGGTCGGCTTTGCTCTGCCTCAGGGGAACGAGAGCTTCTGCCCCTACTCCGTCAACTGCTGCAGATATCGACTATGAGGCTACAGTCACCGAATGCCGCATCGATCTGCGGCTCAACTAATTTAACACAGATAGGATAGTTGCTTATGTATTAGGATATTTAATATTAAGGTAAATAAATGGTGGCGAAGGTGTGGCTATTGGGGGAGGCTGGAGGCCACGTTTAAAAAAAAAAAAAAAGTAGTAGTAGTAGTAGTAGTAGTAGTAGTAGCAGTAGTAGTAGTAGTAATAGTGGTAATAAATAATGATAATAATAATAATAATAATAATAATAATAATAATAATAATAATAATAATAATAATAATAATAATAATAATAATAATAATAATAATAATAATAATAATAATAATAATTTCGACATTTAACATATATCCTTTTTTCCACCCACAGATGGCGTGCAGTCAACGTGCCTCCGACCCTTGCCTACGGGCGTGGATATGGGCGTGGGTTTGGGCGTGCGTGTGGGTGTGTGCATGTTCCGGCTCGTACAGAGAAGTGGCGCCGTGTACGTTTAACCTCATGTGTACGTGTCGGTACGCCAGTGACGGCACGATACCTGACCTAACCATGTCACCTACAGCGCTGGACCACATCACGGAGATGACCTGTGTGGGTGTACCCTTCGCCCGGATACCTGGTGAGTGTCTCTCTCTCTCTCTCTCTCTCTCTCTCTCTCTCTCTCTCTCTCTCTCTCACTGTATTCAGCATATGTCACTTATCTAGAATTGAGGAAGAAAGGAGGGAGAGGATGAGAAGGGGGGAGGAGGAGACGAGGGAGAAGGAGGAGGAGGGGAGAAAGGAGAGGGGAGGAAGGAGGAAGATGGGGAGAGGAGGGAGAGGGGGAAGGAGAGCACAGAGGGCGTGGAAGTGAGTGATTAAAGCAATTCACCGGAGCGAAAAATTATCACAGATTAGCACCAATTATCACGGATTATCAAACTTAGTGAAATAGAATATAATCTCTGTGAGCCTCTTCTGTCATGTTGGTGTTGAATATCTCTAATTATCACTAATTATCAAAATGAGTATAATTGATACCTTCTTGCACCAAGTTAACATTGAATCTCGACGTCAATTATCATCAATTATCATGGATTAACGCTATGAGTGAGGCTGTTGCATCTTCCAGTATATTTAAGCTGAGTGAATTATTAGGAATTATTATCTTCTGTAATGTTGAGAGAGATTATCGCACTCTCTACTGTGATGCCTCTGGGTAAATCCTCAGATTATCATAAATTATCGTGTAATTGGGATTAATAGTCAGTCACACATTTTCCCACTGAATTCCAATGTGAGTTATCTAGAATTATTCAGGTGGATGGCATTAACAAGCTATCAGACGACTCTTCGCTGACTCTGACTATAAATTATCATAAATTATTGAGTTCCGAGGAATTTTGGGCTGAATCCTGTCACGAATAATTACCAGTTATCATAAATTATCAAGTGGAATTATTTTCGTTCACTACAGCGCACATGCTTATTAATATCAACGTAAATTATTAAAAATTATTAAAAATTTGGATGAATTATCAAGCACAGTGATATTAGTCTAACTCAGGAACATCCTCATTGAAATATTACGAATTATCATGAATTATCAAGTAGTCTTGTGAGCACTTCTTCTCAAGGTAATTCATCATCTTTTGCTATAAATTATCAGGTCTCGAGCACTCTTATTCCCATCAAATATTCTATCGAGCAAGTTTCTAGGTGAATCGCTCAACGAATTATCACCAGTTATCATGAATTATCAAGTAGACTATTGTTAGGTCGCAAGACGAAGCATTATAAATTATCAAAAGAATATCCATTGTGGTGTTGTTCCTTGTTCAACCATATCAATAATTATCACCAATTATCATAGATTATTAAGTTTAGATACACTCTCTACCATCAATTATCATAGATTATTAAAATTTTCGAGGGTCAAGTTCTTTTATTATTATTAACAATATTCCTCCCATTTTCAATAATTATCATGTGCGAAGACACTCGTATTCCGTCATTTATCGCCAATGATCATAAATTATCAAACAGTAAGATACCAATTATCGCCAGTTATCGTAAATTATCAAGTAAGATAATAATCGTACGCCACCAATTATCATAAATTATCAAGAAGAATAACAACCATACGTCACCAATTATCACCAGTAATCATTAATTAACAAGTAAGAAAACAATCATACGCCGCAAATCATCATGAATTATCAGGTGGATTATCAAGCAGGTCGTGTCATCATTAAGTCATCTTCGTCAGCGGTGGCGATAAAGGGTGAATACTGGCGTTCATTAGCGCGCCTCGACTCAGGTGTGACGGCAGATCTGCATAATTCTACAGGTTGGAATTATTGGTGCCTGGGTGAGACTGGTTCCTGATTCCAGTCTTGGAATAGTTCCACTTAAAGCATTTTTTACTTTCTATGTCCCCGTTTTTTTTTAATATTCCTAGATACCGTATTTTTTTGGAATATTCCCGGTCTGGAACATTCCCTGTACCGATCTGGAATATTCCCTGTACCGGCTTTGAATATTCCCTGTACCGGTCTGGAATAGTCCCTCTACTGCTCTGGAATATTATCTGTGCCAGTCTGGAATATTCCCGGTCTGAAATATTCCCTCTACCGGTCTGGAATATTCCCGGTAACAGCGTAAGGTTCAGTTGTGTAAGTAAAAAAAATATCGTTTTAAAGGTTGTAAATAAAGTGTAAATAATCACTATTACTCTGGCTGGTTTATTTACACGTGTGGGGGGAGTAAGGGGTGGGAGGGAGTAGGGGGGTGGAGTAAGAAGGGAGAGGGGCAGAGAAGGGGAAAAAGTACAGGGGTGGGGGTGGGGGAGATGAATAGGGAGTGGGGAGTGAGTGGTGGGGAGAGAGGGGGAGCAGGTGGGGAGGGGGAGGAGAGAAAGTGGGGAGTAAAAGGAGGGGAGGAGGAAAGGTGGGGAAGGATAACCCAGTGTAGTTGTTGTTGTTGTTGTTGTTGTTGTTGTTGTTGTTGTTGTTTTTGTTATTGTTGATTTACCTTGACAGAGTTTAAATATTTCCTCCCGATAGTTTCAAAGAGATGGGGGAGGGGGTGGAAGAGGGAAGGGAAGGTGGAATAGAGAAAGAAGGGAGGGTGGAAGAGGGAAGGGAAGGGAAGGAAAAGGAAGGGGAGCAATGATGGGAAGGAAGGAAGGGGAATTATCCAGTACCCATTCCTTTTACCCATTACTACCACCTTATTTTGTTCACTTTCATACGACGTGACACGATAAAATTTTTAAGTCGTACTGCAAAAATAAATAATAAATTACCCTCATTAACATTGATCAGAATTCCAGGTCGTATTATCGATCACAAATACCCAATAACACACCACTCAGTCATAACATAAACCATATATAATGTGTATCAGTTTCCAGGTTACGATATTTGTCTACAAAAACAATTTCTGGGAATTCTATTTATGTGTGTGTGTGTGTGTGTGTGTGTGTGTGTGTGTGTTGACAATATCATGCTAAGTATGTATGTATGAATGATGGTCTTAGCTGTTTAGGTCACTAGAACAACATTGCATTAACTCTCTTGTCCACTTTAACCTGTTAATAGGACACCACTTTAACTGAGAGAGAGAGAGAGAGAGAGATTGACAGACAGTGACAGACAGACAACCAGACAGTGACAGACAGAGAGACAGAGAGAGATAGAGACGTAACGAGTATGTTAGAGTCGCTTAGAACCGTGTTGGGTTAAGGTGATTCATAGCGATAACTCAACCAGTAATTAACCCAGTTTTACACGAGGCACAAGTATGATGAATATCTGCTCGTTAACTTAATAATTTATTGCACTGGCTTGTTGGGGGGAGGCGTGGGGGGGAGGAGAAAGGAGGGGTGTAATGTTTGGAGGAGGAAGGAGAGAGAGTAGTTGTGGAGAGGGAGGAAAAGAAGTGTGGTTAGGGGAGGTAATAGGAAGGGGAGATTAATTAAGGGAGGGGAGGGAAGGAAGGAAGGGAGAGAAAGAGCGTGGTTGAAGAGGGAGGATGTGGGAGGGTTGGAAAAGAGAGGAGAGAGAGAAGAGAGAGAGAGACAGAGAGAGAGAGAGAGGATGTGCCAGACAGTGCCTCATTGTGCCAAGTGCCAGTAGCCAAAATAACTTAGAAATGAATGGAGCGATATTTTTGAAACTTGACATATTAACCGAGTGTAAGGCGATAAATAAACACACACACACACACACACACACACACACACACACACACACACACACACACACACACACAGGCATTTAGTCAGCATACGATAAATCAAATAACAGCCAAGGTTTATTCTTTCATACTTCAAGCTATGACCTTGAACTTTGACCTTTGTAGTAAAGGTATCCTGGTCAAAGTTAGGTTAGGTTAGATAAGGTTAGGTTAGGTTAAGGTGCACGTCAATTCAAGTAAGTTTAAGGTAGGTCAGGCTAGATTAAGTTAGGTCAGGTCATAGGTCAAAGAAGGTCAGAATCCCCCCCCGACACAAACAGGTGACCTACTGACTGGGCATATATCACTCTTGTTGTTTGTCTTTTTTGTTTACTTACAGTACAGTAATTAGTACCTGTCAGTAATTTGTGTATTTTTCATCAATATTCCTTGGGTGTCGGTATTTTTATTATGCGTTGCCGTTCATTACTTTATTTAGCATTTATTTGGCCTTATTTCTATTATTTTCTATTTTCTTTCATTCCCTCATTTACGTATTTATTTATTTATTTATTTATACAGTTATTCATTTTCATTCATTCCTCTCTTTTATCGTTTATTATTCCCTTAATTATTCGTCTTTATTTTCATGTGTTTATTATTGAGTTACATGGGTGTCAGTTGCATTACCTGAGTGTCAGATGAGTTACATGAGTGTCAGATGAGTTACATGAGTGTCAGATGAGTTACATGAGTGTCAGATGAGTTACATGAGTGTCAGTTGAGTTACATGACTGTCAGATGAGTTACATGAGTGTCAGATGAGTTACATGAGTGTCAGATGAGTTACATGAGTGTCAGATGAGTTACATGAGTGTCAGATGAGTTACATGAGTGTCAGATGAGTTACATTACATGAGTGTCCCAGATGGAGTTGAGTGTCAGATGAGTTACATGAGTGTCAATGATGGAGTTACCTCCAGGTTATATGAGAGGAAAAGTTACATAACGGCGTCAAAACTTGCGTGAAACCTGAGTCTGGTGGACCTGAGAGCCGGACCTGGAGGGGGCAGGACCTGGAGGAGGAGGGGCCTACTGGAGGAGGGCTGGACCTGGAGGAGGAGGGGGGGGGCTGGACCTGGAGGAGGGAGGGCTGGACCTGGAGGAGGAGGGGCAGGACTGGAGGGAGGAGGGGGCTGGACCTGGAGGAGGGAGGGGGTGCTGGACCTGGAGGAGGGAGGGGACTGGACCTGGAGGAGGGAGAGGGACTGGACCTGGAAGGGAGGCTGGACCTGGAGGAGGAGGGAGGGGGACTGGACCCGGAGGAGGAGGGACTGGACCTGGAGGAGGAGGGCTGAACCTGGAGGCAGGGAAGGGGGACTGGACCTGGAGGAGGGAGAGGGACTAGACCTGGAGGAGGGAGGGGGACTGGACCTGGAGGAGGAAGGGGGCTGGACCTGG